GCCCAAAGCTAGTGCTCTACCACTTGGAGCCACAGCGCCAGTTCTTATTTTCTGGTGCTTAATTGAAGATAAGACTCTCATTTCCTGCCTATGCTAGTGGTAGAGCGCTCGCCTTGAGCTGAAGAGCTGAGGGACAGCGCCTAGGCCCAGAGTTCAAGCCCCACGACCTAGAAAAAAAAAAGAGAGACTTGAAGCTGATGGTGAGCCACTATGAGATTCTGGATTTCACTACAGACCTTCATAGTGGCTGCTCTGTAATCTGATACAGTGGCACTCTGGAGCCATCATTGTGAGCACAATATGTTTTGTTTTAAGCAATTTTTTTTATTAGCTTACATTAGTTACAAAGGGGAATTTCATTGTTTCATTTCCACACATATTTACAATATATCACAATCAGTCTTACCTCTTCTATCACTTTCCTTCCCAAAACAATTTCAGTGAGTTTCCTTGTTCTGGTAGATTTAAAAAAACAAAAACAAAAATAATCTTCTGTTACATGTTATCCTAAATAAGGTTTTCACTCTCCGTAATTTTGATACACTACTTGATAGAAGCCTTCAAGAGTGATTCATACTTTTTCCCTATAACTAATAAAATCTTTTTTTTTTTAATTTTTCCTCCTGGAAAGGAAGAGGAGGCTGCCAAATGGGCCCGGGAAGAAGAAGAAGCTCAGCGTCGATTAGAAGAGAACAGGCTGCGGATGGAAGAGGAAGCAGCCAGACTCCGGCATGAGGAGGAGGAGCGGAAGAGGAAGGAGCTGGAGCTGCAGCGTCAGAAGGAACTGATACGCCAGAGGCAGCAGCAGCAAGAGGCCCTCCGGAGATTGCAGCAGCAGCAGCAGCAGCAACAGTTGGCACAGATGAAGGTACAACCTTAGGCACATCCAGAGGTGCCTTTGTTGACACGTTGTTGTGAGGCAGATGCTGGCAATGTTGGTAGCTGTGAAACTACTTTTTGTCAGTAAATTACTAATGGGTATTTGGATCCTCAACAAGATGGAACATGATGCATGTTAGGCACTTAAGCCAGAGAGGCAATACACAGAAGAGGTAGGACATGAGCTGTGATACACGCATATATGTCAGCTATTTGGTTCATAGTTTGATGGGGAACCATGATCATTGGAATGCTTTTTTGTACACCATTACTAAGACAGAAGCGAGCCATCATCCTCCAGAAAGAGTTTAGATTTGCAGCAGCAGAAGGGCATACTAACATGTGAATTTGTAAATGTGAACCAGATCATAGGACTTAAAACCTTAGGGCTTATTAAAAGTTGGATTCAAAGACCCCATTTGAACACTTCACATTTCTAATTGCAGTGCAACTTGTAACATTACAGGCCATTATATGGATGTTTTCTGTTCCCATGAAGTATAGACAGTAACATTGAAACGTGTACTTACTTTAGAAAAATAATATAAACTCAGTCTTTTTGTTTTGTTATATTTGTGAGAGGTATGTGCATATATGCATGTGTGCATGTGCTGGTCCTAAAGCTTCAACTCAGGGACACCTGAGCTTTTTTCCCTCAAGGTTTCCACTCTCCCCCTTGAGCACTTTTGGCTTCTTGGTGGTTAATCAGAAATGAGTCTCACAGACTTTCCCTCTCAGGCTGACTTCAAACCATGGTGCTCAGATCATAGCCTCCTGAGTAGCTAGGATTACAGGCGTGAAGCATCAACACTCAGCTTGTTTTTGTTTTTTTTTAACTGTGGAGTTCCAAATTTAATTTTAAATTTCAATTCCTGAGCATAACACCTGAGTGCAAGGGATAGCCTGTTTTATTTTTTGCATTGAAGGCCAATAATGCTACAAGGAAATTCTTTAAAAAACAAAACAGATATCTCCTTCAACAAAGGAGAAAATGAAGACTGAGATCCCAGTAGTAAATGGTGTCAAAGACAGAAGCTGGGTTGTGACTGTGAGTCTTCATCAACTTAGGAAGGTTGTGGGATTGCTCCTGAAACCAAGTGTCTAGGAAGAGCAGAGTGGGTCTGTAGCAGGATCTTCATGACTTCAAGCTGGGCTCATAGTTAACAATAAGATTTAGTCTTCCTTATCTTTGTGAAACTCAGAGGGCAAAGACACAGGAAGAGAGATTTAGAATACAGAGTGGTAGGTATAGAAGTAGAGATGGCATTATGCAGTAGTTCTCAGATTCTGGTCTCCTGGAAATTTGTGAGACCTGCAAATTCCCTAGTCTGCTCCAGATACTCCAGACGTATTGGGTATGAACCTCTATGAGGAGAACACAGGACGATTGTGTTTGAACAGATTCCCCCAAGGTATTTTGATGCTTGATAAAATGTGAAATTGTCTAAGTTAGGCAGTTTAGGTTCTGAGAGAGGCATCATGGAGCAAGTAGAGGCATGAGGTTTAGAAATACTGTGGAACATTAGGGGAAATTTAAAGAACAGGTTACTTTTTTTTTTTGGTTTGTCATGGGGCTTGAACTCTGGGTCTGGGCACTGTCCCTGAGCTCTTCAGCTCAAGACAATCACTCTCCCACTTGAGCCGCAGCACCACTTCTGATTTCTGGTGGCTAATTGGAGATGAGAGTCTCATGGACTTTCCTGCCCGGGCTGGCTTTGAACTACTCAGCCTCCTAAGTAGTAAGATTACAGGCATGAGCCACAGGCACCCAACTAACAGGTTACTCTTTCTTAATGAAGTATAAGTACAGGCAGACTCCATAGCAATAGGGGCTGTCTAGACCTTATTAAATAATTACAACTTGTACCAATAATGATCCTAGATTCTCAGAAATCTGAGATCGGATCACAGTTCAAAGCCAAAGCCAACCAAGGCAGGAAATTAGAATTTAAAGTGACAGAACACTGGAAATAACACCATGAGCTTTTCAGGAAAGCTAAATGGATTTGAAGGAAACATAACTGGAGGTTAGCAGACCAGTAGCCAGGCAGTCGATAAAAGGCTTGGTGCAGGGCTGAAGGCATGTGGAAAGGAGAGGTAAGAGGTATACTAATTATTGAGTGGTTGCTGTGTCAGGTACATACTAATAATTTTTCAATAACTTAATATGGCTTAATCTTCACCAAACTTTCTTATAAAACTTTGGGATGTTCATTTACCAAGGAGGAATATGCTGAGAATAATTCTGAGTTAGTTGCTTTGAGTCTGAGAGCTGGTAGTAGATAGATGTGGTTCTGAGCCACAAAAAAGTTGTCAAGACTTTTCTAAGAGGCCACATCACAGGATAGTGGTTATTTCTGAGGCTTTGTGAAGCAGGTAAAGGCATGGGTAATTTCCAGATCTTGTGTGTATAGTTTTTTCTCCTTATTCTCCAAAAATAAAGATTAAAGTACTGAAAGATAGTTGTAAAGTATTGCTAAATGAGAAAAGATGAGCAGTTTTAAAACAGCTTTATTGAGATAATTTTTCTGCCACTAGGATATTAGCCAACATCCCTGGTCACATCAAACTTGGAAAGATTTATGGATTCTCTTTTCTCACCTCTGAATCTTCTGGGCAATTAGGTGTGGTGGAGCCAAGACATTTGTATTTTTATATTTCCCCTGAGGTGATGCAGCCGGGTTTGAGACTTGGCTGCCTGACTAGTGCCTTCCAAATGTGTAATTTCCTATGGAGTATTTGGTTTTGCTCAATTTGCCTACATAGTCTTTACCCTCCTTTTCTCTGTTAGCTTCTCTCTGGGCCTATCCCTTACCCCATGCCCTACTGCCTATCATATTGTTGAGGGTTGATTGACAGTGTTCATTTGCTTTGGGCAATATCGATAACAGTGTAAACTGTTCATTCCCTCTACCCTATTAGTTGAACCCTTAGCTAGTTCTACTGTATAGATTCTTTTTTTAGACTATTGGGCGTTTTGATCTATGTTCATATGTTTCATTGAACATATTTTAAAATTATGGTTAGAATTGGTTTTCTTGTTTTTGTTTAAAAAGCCATGAGATGCTCCTAAGTCTGCAATTTTTCTGGCCATTTAAAAGGCTGGGCACTGGTGGCTCATGCCTTTAATCTTAGCTACTCAGGAAGCTGAGATCTAAGGATCACAATTTGAAGCCAGCCTAATCAGCAAGGTCTGCGATTCTTATCTCCAATTAAGCATTAAAAAAAAAAACTGGAAGTGGAGTTCCAGCCCCAGGACCAGCACCAAAAACAAACAGAAAAACCATTTGAAACTCAAGTTTTCAAGACCCACATATTTATGTTCTGTTTTAATTGATAATAGGAAAAGCAGAATTGTTTATTAAAAATAGACTCACTCTTAAAAGACTTGAGACTGAGGACCATGCCTGACATCTCCTATTAGCTACCTATTATACCTTCGCATTCAGATATCTTGTTTTTAATCAGTGATGGTTCTTCATGACTTCATGGATTAAAAATCTCCAAGTCAATGTAGCCATTTGTTTTGTTAACTCCTTTGCCTTTATGATTGCATATTGTTATATGTGATAATGCTAGATATAACAGCTAGCTAAAGCAAGTATAAAGGTGTATGTATATTTTCATTTGTTTAGGTTTGGGACAATTGATTAAAAAAGAAATAGAAGCAAGCAAACAGGAAAGTATGGAAAAGATATGGACAGATTTGTTTTAGTGAATGTTGCAAATGATGAGGAAAAAAACCATAGATGTTTTAACTGTACATAATTATGTCTTTGTCTCCTATTTACATTTCCTCAAAAATTCTGCCTTTCATTTCTTTTTAGCTTCCCTCTTCTTCAACATGGGGCCAACAGTCTAATACAACGCCATGTCAGTCCCAAGCCACCCTGTCATTGGCTGAAATCCAAAAGTTGGAGGAAGAAAGAGAACGGCAGCTTCGAGAAGAGGTAATTTGTAAAGAGTGATGTGCCTGAATATAGTGTTCTAGAAGATGGAGTGGTTTAATGGTGCCTTAAGATGGTAGTCACTCTCTGGATTGGTGTGTGTTTGATTTGGATATACTCTTACTAAATACTTAAGCCTATGGTTGGGCACTTTGGCTTATAATTTGATCATTCTTCAGCCTGTAATTTGGTCACCTTGAAGAATTCAACAGGAATAACCAAAGATTGAGTAACATAAATGTTCAGCTTCCTTAAACATTTTTCTGTAGCTCTTGAGCATAACTCATAAACAAAAATACATAGATTGTTCAGAATTGTGGGTGAGTTTTGTGGAGATAGGAATTTAATGGTGCAAAGATGTGAGTTTAATGCATACTACATTTTTGTCCGAAGGGTTAGGCTTTTTTGACTGGCCTAGAAAATCTTAAAATGTGACAAAAATCAAGTATCCTGGCTTTTAACTTTATATCCCGAAGTTCATTATAAGATAGGAAGATACGAAAGAGTGGAAGAAAGCTGGAAAAGAGGAATAACAGTTCTCAACAGAGGAGGAACTGCTATTAATTTCTTACTCCCTGATTCTTTCAACACATATAAAGCGCGTACTTACTTGTAGTCTGGTGTTGTAATTGAGGATAAAACAAACAAAATATCTGATAGTTGGGAAGATAAACAATAGAAGTTAAATAAAACATACAAAATAAACCAGAATGTTGGAGAGTAAGCATGAGTACCAGAGAGGAAGATTATGTGGGAAGGGGAGAAGAATGACATGGCAGTCATGATGGTGCTGGAGATGGCATGGTGGCTTGTTCCCTCTTAGGTGTTATGCTCTGGGAAAGCCTCTGTAAAAGGTGACGTAATAGCCGGGCGCTGGTGGCTCACGCCTGTAATCCTAGCTACTCAGGAGGCTGAGATCTGAGGATCGCGGTTCAAAGCCAGCCCGGGCAGGAGAGATCATGAGACTCG